CCCAAGAATGATTTAAAGATCATAATTCGAATAAGAAAATTATAAGGCAACATATCTTTCATTTCTTATGGGATCAGAAATCTTTCATAAATTTGAATAATTTCGAAAATATTCATCAATTCTATCGATGGTCTATTCATATGAATTTTTCTTATCGATATTTATTTCGTATATCTAAGATTTCATATTCTCGTATGATGAATAGAGAATAGACAGATTTCTAAGATCTTTTTGATCTTTTTCATTTATATTATTGAAATCGTAATTCTATCATTTCCATGAAAAATCCTTTACGAATTGTTATTGATTGTATCCTTTATATGTTATCAATATTAATCACCGAAACCCACATGAACAGCACACCCAAAGAAAAGCAGCCCCGACTTATCTTTCGAAGGAGAGCGCGCTGCTCAGTGGGCATCAGGGATACTGGAGATCGGGGCCCAAGAGTCCTGGCACGCGACAAACCCTGAGCCCTAACCAAGTAAAGGCTGTAAGGCTTTTGGTCAAGTTGGGACGTGCTCCCCTTTTCTAGCAGTCCTGAATTGGGATTATGATAGGAGGTACTGTAATCCTCATCAAGAACTGTTAGTATAAGGGGAGCATCGCAAGGACTAAGCTATTCCCAAGAATTGGCGCCTGCAGGTTCACGGCCTCACCCCAAACCCAGCAGGGAAGAAGGGTGCCAGCCTCCCTCGTCTAAAGGTCCCAGAGTGAGCGGGGGACAACAAGATACAGGGCTTTCAGTTTTGTTAAGCTTGACCCCTAAACCCTAGGCCCTAAACCCTAAACCCTCAAGACAAGATAAATGGAAACTCTATGTGGCAAGATTCTGAATTCTCCCAGGTTGTTTGTCTAAACAGCTGACAAGCAGAGTTTAAGCACATTCATCCACAGCGCCTGGCGCCTGGGAGGTCTAAAGCTCACTTTACTTAAACCTCTGGGCCTCTCTGGAGGCCAGCCATGGCCGGAAGGCCCCAAAAAAACAATACATTAGGTTCTAAACCAGATAGTTTCGCTCAAAACGTTTCGCTCAAAACTTTTGCTCAAAACGTTATCGGGACCCAAACCCTATACAATTTCTATAAACTCTGAACCCTAAACCCTAAACCCCTAAACCCCTAAACCCCGAAACCCCTAAACCCCTAAACCCTAAACCCGTGATAAAAGAGAATAAGGGATAAGACCGCCTCTAAGTCCGGGGAACGTCCAAGAAGGTGGTGCCCTAAAGTACAAACTGGCCCCCTCACATTCGTGGGAGGCCGCCCCAGAAAAACCTTGAAAGGCGGCCTTTTCTCCAAAAGGCTCCCAACAGCGGAGGGCCCAGGGAGGCCCATAAGGCACGAAAAACCAGACTGTGGCTCCCCCTGTCAAAAAGAAAAAAAAAACAATCGCCCAAAACCCGGTCAAGATCCCGGACACAAAGCCGATGCAATAACCCTAAACCCTAAACCCTAAACCCTGAAACCCTAAACCCTAAACCCTACACGGAATTGTATTCAGGGTTTGTGTTTGCGGTGTTGACCTGTCTGACCGGGTCGAGAACCTGATGCTTTTTGCTGAAAACACAGGCTTCTTCTGGCCTTTTGGAGAGCCAACCCTAAACCCTAAAGCCCTAAAGCCCTAAAGCCCTAAGCCCTAAACCCTAAACCCTACACCCTAACCCTAAACCCTAAACCCTGAACCCTCCATTAAGCCTTGGGGTACCTTTTTGGGGCGACCTTGGATTTGGGGTGCCTTTGACAGCAGGTGTCGAATTGAAATGCATACGCTTCCTGCTTAAGCTGATCCCGAGGGGTTAGGGTTGAGGGTTTAGGGTTTAGGGCTTAGGGCTTCGGGCTCAGGGTTCAGGGCTTAGGGTTTCGGGTTTAGGGTTTAGGTGCCAGCAAGACATGACTTAAGGTTTTCGGGTTGAGGGCTTTACGAGTAAGCCCAACACACCAATTGAGAGGCTCTGATTCAAAGGCCTCGAAGCGTGCATGCTCAGTTTTCGAAAACATGTGGGCCCATTCTGGGGCCGTACCCTGATCTACTGCACCCCCGTATGTTCAGGGTACCTGAACCCTACACACCGTGGCTTCGAGTTAGGGGCTAAACCCTAAACCCTAAACCCTAAACCCTAAACCCTCAACCCTCAACCCTAAACCCTAAATAAACCCTAAACCCTAAATCCTACAACCCAAAGGACATGGAGTTGACATGCAGGCAAGCCAGCTGTGTCCTGCTGCGGAAGATCTCTGGGCACCTCAGTCTACAGCTTTCAGCTTTCCATTCCCCGAGGGCGTAGGGTTTAGGGTTTAGGGTTTGGGCTTGAGGGTTCAGGGTTTAAGGGGTTTAGGGTTTTAGGGTTGGGGTTCAGAGGGGCGGTTTTGCAAGCAGTCTGCAGACAGGCAATGGAACATTCCACTTCTACTTGCTTCCCAACTCTGGCGGTGATACCCTAAACCCTAAACCCACAACCCTAAACCCTAAACCTGATACCTATGCTAGGGGGGACACTCCATAGGCTCCTTCTCTGGGAAAAAACCTTGCCATCTCTGGTTCGAAGGTTCCACCAAAAGCATCAGCAGAATCCACAAGAGAATCTGGGGCCCAGCAAACCCTAAACCCTAAACCCTAAACCCTAAACCCGAAACCCTAAACCCTAAACCCTAAACGGTTTCAAAAGCAATTTGGCGATGGCATGCTCTGCAAGTACGTGTGCCTCTGTGAGCAGCATGGCCGAGGATTGAGTATAAGAGATGTTCGCTCCACGTGGATCCCGCACGTCTGCTTCAATCAATGCTGCACAGTGGACTGTCGGCTTTCCTTGCTGTCCATGTGGTTTAAGGGTGCTTCATCCTTTTTGCCATTGTGAAACGCACGCCGTTGCAAAAACGGTGTTGTGTCTACTTGTGGCTATGTGGGATCACTGATTGCCCACCAGATCTGGTTTTTCAAGTTGCAGGAAACGGTCCGCAGCTCACCCCTGCTTCAGCAGGAGCCTGAAACCCTGAACAGCCCGTTGCACACTTCATTCTTCTGATTCTATAGAAAGAGGTAAAGCCCACAACCTGAAGAAACGACTCTTCACCAAATGCCGCCACATTAGCGCGAGCTTTTGTCACCCCTGCAATTCAAACTTGTCGGAGTCTCTCATCGCCCCGGGGGGCAGGTGCCGCGTTTCGGGCTAAGGGAAAATGAGCTCTACTTGTAGGGTCTAGAGGATTTAGGGTGATTACTTGCATGTGGGGGGTTTTTAGGGGGTTCGGCACCGTTCGTGCCTCACTTCTCTAGGCCCCGCTTCCTCCGCCGCTGTCGCCGCCGCCGCCCCCGAAGCCATAGTATCCTCCGTCGCCGACGATGATCCTGGTGCGCTGCTTTCTATGAATGTCCCGAGCAACCTCGTCCTTGAACGCCTGCAACTTCGCCAGAACGGTTCCCGGGCGGGCCGAGCCAAGCGGAGTCGTCTGGTTCGTCGCGCGGTTCCACCAGTACTTCTTTCCGGAACCTTGCGGGTCCGCAACTTCGACCCAGTCGTCGACCGACGTTTGTGGATGTTGGCACTTCTGCTGCCCCTGTCCGTGATTGGAGGCCGACGATGCACGGGCCAACGTGCGGAACGTCGGCAGTGGGTGAGGCCGCCAAAGCCGCAAGCACGGATTTCGCCACCGCAGCATGGCCATGGCCGGATTCTATTCCATGGGTGGGTGGCGCAACGTACACGGGAGCCAGGTTTGGGCTAATCTGCCGGCTTGTTGTAGCCTAGTTGGGATCAAGAGGGCTCCACGCAAGCCGCAAGAATCTGTTGTCCTCAGCCAAAAGCAGCAAAGCAGCTACCCCGAGTCCTGCAGCCCTCAGCCTAAAACTCTCAACCCTTTCCCCTACATTCTCAACCCCTCTGAGTCCTACCTGAGTCGCAATCCGTCGAAACCCTCAAGCCCGATTCCCTCAAAAGCTAGCCAGAAACAAGCCCTCAAACTTTCGAAAGCCTACACCCCTAACCCATATAAACCCTAAACCCCGATACTCGAACCCCCTAAACCCTAGACCCGCAACTGCTTCTGGGCCCACGGCCCCGATGCTTCTGCAGGGAAAGCGGTGCGAAGTCGGCCTACCGACGGTTCCCTAAACCCTATAGGATTCGTGGTTTTAAGGGTTTACGGCGTTGTGGGGTCTTTAGGCTTCAGGGAGTTGGGTTCTTGGCTGTAGGATCTGCTTGGGGTTAAGGGCTTGGGGCTGGGGTTCTGGGTTTAGGATTTGAGGGTTTAGGGGGTTGCGGGCTATCGGTGTAGGTTTTGTTCGGGCTCTGGGGTTTGGGAGGTCGGAGTGGTGGGGGTTCGGGGGCCGTAAAGGAGGCAGCTCAGAGTTTGGCGGGCTTTCGTTGTAGGGTTGAGGATTCAGCCACATTGTGTCCGGGCCCAAACACCCGAACCCTAAACCCTAACCCTAAGCCCAACACCCTAAACCCTTAACCCTAAAACGCTGATGCCTGCATGGAATTCCTCCACGTGCTCAAGAGCCTTCCCGCCGAAAAAAAAAAAACAAAGCGGGCTCAACCCCGTCATGGGACCACTCCAATTACTACCCAAAACAGAGCCCGAACAACGCTTGAACCCTAAACCCTATGAGCCTTAAACCCTAAACCCTAAACTGTAGGCCTCCAAGCCGTCATCAAGAGCATCATGGTCGTCGGGCCCTTGGGGTTTCGGCGTGTAGGCGTCTAGGATTGAGGCTTTGGGCGGTACCGTCCGGACACCGCGACCTTCAATGCAGGGTTCTGTAAATACAGCTGGTTTAGAGTTTGGGGGGAAAAAGGTCAACCCTAAACCCCCTAGGCCCTAAACCCGAAACCCTAAACCCGAAACCCTAAACCCAAAACTAGGGCTTCAGCACTTTGAGTGCATGGGGTGAGCTCCCGGGCCGATTGCCAAGATCTCTGCAAAAAACGGTTTCCGAGGCAGGAACACAAGCCTGGACCTAAAACCCTAAACCCACACACTTCCTTATGAGGCATAAACGACGTCTGATGAAACCTGCAAGCCCTTTGCCCTTAGGTGTAGGAACGGACCATGAACCCCAACCAGAAACCCTAAACCCGAATCGAATGTGCTCAACCCCCCAACCCTTAATCATTCTTCAGACGGCTTCTAAGAGGACGACACTCTGAACCACACCCCTACGAGTTGAATCAACAAGGTTTAAGGAGGTGCGGGGGGTGCTGCGGTGTTTTCGCAAGATCCATTATGGACAGCGTTGAAAGGCTCTCGACAATTCCAAGCTACACATGAACCCGCTTGATGAGAGTAACGCCGAAGATACTTGCTCAATAGAGCTGTTTGGGACAACACCACATGGTGGAAATGCTCAAGGTTTGATTGAACAGGCTGAATGATGTCATGAACGTAGTCATCACCTGTCTCTGCAGGTTGCACACTGCCGAGCATTCTTGCGAAAGCTGGTCGACAATTCTTCTCCAACAGCTGTCTGACCGCGTTGCGCTTCAGTGGCTGCATATCTGTTTTGGTGTGCCGAAACCCTCATCCAGCTTCAAGAAACTAGGCGTGCAGAACGGTGGCTTGGGGGTGCAAGCGTCCATGACTTGGGGCTTACGGCTCAGCTGTTCAGGAACTGCAAAGATTAAAGAAACCAACGACTGTCCTTTGGAATGCTGTGAATATATCACCTCTGGCCTCCTTCTGTAGGTACAGCTGTGGGTTTAGGGTTTGGGGTTTGTGGGGTTGAGGGTTTTGGGTTTGGGGTCCCCGGTTTGCTCTCGAACCCCTACCTGGAACCCACTCAAAGGCGACTTGGCCGCCTTGGAACCCTAAACCCTCAACCCTCAACCCTCAACCCTAAACCCTCAACCCTAAGCCGCCTTTAAAGCGCACTGCTTAAGAGCTTCGGCGCGGCTTACGGGCTTAAGGGCTTCGGGTTTACGAATGCACGCAGAACACATGTCCCATCAAATCCGACCTTCACGCCGAACGTCCAACAAAAGGGCTGAAGGTTGAGGGTTTACGCTTTAAGAGATCTTGGTCTTTGCAAGCCACAAGCCTAGACCCTGAAAGCCTCAACAGTTTCCGGGCAGAGGGAGGTGAGGGAATTCAAGCATTTCTGGATCACCGGTCCTTGGCCCTCCCCCCGTCCCCCACACCATGCCTTGATGCACGTTGGCGAAATGGATGCCTGTCCGGGGCATCAGTGATTGAAACAAAGCACACCGGCCGAGACCCTCAACTTAAGCCGTACCGAAATTCAGGTGTAAGGGTTGTCGGGCTTAAGAAAGCCTTGGCTGTCGAAGGTTTGACCAAGTTGTTGGAGCTTCAGGCTGGCGGGATTTGGCCTTGTTAGGGTTTCGGGGGGCGAAGGGTTTCTCTTCCCCCATACCGGAAACCCCAAACCCTACACCCCAAACCCGAGGTTTCAGGGTCGCCCCCCCCCCCCCCCCCCCCCCCCCCCCCCCCCCCCCCCCGCGCACCCAAACCTGACATGACCTTGCACCCATGGTCTTGGCGCTATTTAGGGTTTAGACTTTAGATTTAGGGCTTAGGGCTTAGGGCTAAGGGTTTGGGGTTTAGGGTTTAGGGTTTAGGGGTTTAGGGTTTATAGGGGCTTCGGGATTCGGAGGGGTCGGCCCTTGCCTTTTCGATTGAAGGCTCTCAGCAGCAAATGGAGGTCCTGAACAGCAAAACATTCGTGGCCAAAAACCTAGGGTTTAGGGTTTAGGGTTTAGGGTTTAGGGTTTAGGACAAATAGACAGAATCTGCAAGCGGTTGACTGCAAGAACCTCGGACTTCGAATCTGCAATTTGCATGGGCTTGCAAATGCCTGTCGAAGCTCAAAAGCAGTGAAACTTTCAATAAGAAAAACACGCCTTCTGTCAGACGGTTTCGGTCAGACCGTATCGGTCAGAACTTCCCTACACTGAAGGCCAATGCACCATAGCTCATCTACCGCCAGACTTGGCAGCCCAGTAACTACATTGCAATGAGGGCACCCTTTGTTGGGCTGGGTTAGGGAACCTTGAGCCCAACAAAAAGGGAAAAAGGGTACCACTGGGCTACCAAGTAGGTGCCAGTGTCAGGGTTAGGATCTTAGGTAGCCCTGGTATGAAGCAGCCACCAGAACAAGTGTACCAAATATAGTGCCACCTAAGGATAACCTCCGTCGAAAACTGCACAAGCAGAATTACAGGTAGGTAGTTATACTCTTTGCATAAGCCTCTACTCTAAGCCCTTCCAGTGCCAAGCCCTAAAGCCTAGAAGCCCTAAACGACACCGAATTTCCGCGAAGACTCGTTTCTTGGGGTGCTGCCTGCAGGCAGCTTTGACAGGTAAGGGCAGTATGGGGGTTGATCTTCATCATGGTACCATGAACTGCAAGGAATACACTACAATGGGTTTAGGGTGTAGAGGCTTAGGGATCAATCGCTTCAGGCCTACGATTTCGACCAGCCCTCGAATGCAACTACTTTTCTTCACAAGGCTAGCTCCTGCTGCCCACTCTGCGCTTTTTGGGTGCCTCATCCTCTCAGGCCGACACCCTAACCCTAAACCATAAACCCTAAACCTTAAACCCTAACCCTAAACCCTACCCAAAAGCTTTAAGTTTCTGCGGAACCATCAGTGGCTACAGAAGAGGCGGGGGTCAGCTGGCCCAGCTCCTCCAATAGTTTGCTTGGGTTACACTGTGAAGCCGAAGCTTGTCCCACAACTCATGAGGATCATGGGGGTGTAGGGGTTTAGGGTTGGGGTTAGGGTTTAGGGTTTTACGGCTTTGGGGTTTAGGGTTCAGGGCTTGGGGTTAAGGTTTGCAAACCCTAAACCCTAAACCCTAAACCCCAAACCCTAAACCCAAAACCTAAAACCCTACACCCAGTAGTGTAGGGTTCATAGTTAGCGCAACTCTGCCTCGAGCTCCATCGCGAACGCGCGCTCGCGAAGCATGCCTTCCTCTTCGAGGACCTGTATGCCACGGAAAGCAACGTAAACCCCTAAACTCTAAACTCTAAACTCTAAACCCTAAACCCTAAACCCCAAACCCTAAACCCTAATTAAACCCTAAATAACCCTAAACCCTAAACCCTAAACCCTAAACCCTAAAGGGGCCAGGGCAATGAATGACGAGACGGGCTTCGGGCCTCTTTTGGTCGGCGATGAGAGCAGGATCTTTGTGCTACGGCTCTTGAGAAATGAGGTTGGAGGTCACTTCCATGTATTCTGGGTTTAGGGTTTAGGGTTTAGGGTTTAGGGTTTAGGGGTTCAGGAACTTAATCAGACAAGCTACCGTAATATGGACATACAGCACCTGGCATGTGGTCCTGTCGCAAGTATGCCATGCCATCCATGGGTTTGTGTTCTTGCCCCCCCCCCCCCTCCCAACCCTGAAGCCAAAACCCTACAACCAACCGCCAAGCTTGCGTCCCTGAATGCCCTAAACCCTAAACCCTAAACCCCAAACCCTAGACCCTAAAACCTCAGTGGCTTTTAGGTAATTACTCAGGCCTCGCGGACAAGATCCGGGAAGGGCGTCGTGGAGGGCTTTGTCCCTGACAGCGAGCACCACATCCTCAGTTCAGGGCTCCCGTCAATTCTGTGCTTGGGGTTTGTGGTGTATTTAGGGTTTAGGGTTTAGGGCTTAGGGTTTAGGGTGTAGGATTTTAGGAGCTTCGCTGGCCAAGCTA